GGGGTAGGGTGGGGTAGGGTGGGGTGGGAGTAAGGGTGAGGGTAGGGTGGGATGGGGGTAGGGTGGGGTGGGGGTAGAGGTGAGGGTAAGGTGGGGTGGGGGTAGGGGTGAGGGTAGGGTGCGGTGGGGGTAGGGGTGAGGGTAGGGTGGGGTGGGGGTAGGGGTGAGGGTGGGGTAGGGGTGAGGGTGGGGTGGGGTGGGGGTAGGGTGGGGTGAAGTGAGGGTAGGGTGAAGGTGGGGGTGAGGGTAAGGGTAAGGGTGGGATTTGGGGTGGGGGTTCAGGTGGGAGTGGGGGGGTGAAGGTGGGAGTAGCAGCGGGGGTGAGGGTAAGGGTGGGAATTAGGGATAGCAGTAGGGGTGGGGTGATGGTACGAGTAGGGGTAGAGGTGGGAGGCTGGGGGCAGGAGTGAGGATGGGAGTGGGTAGGCATGAGGGTAGGGGTGGGGGCAGGGTTCTGGCCCCCCAGGCCTCACTCCTTTTAGGGCCGCCCTCCAGTCTCCCCACTCAACAGAGCCGGAACCCAGGGCTCAGGGCTTTGGCATGACAGCAGGAGCTCCAGGGTTGGAGGCATTTGTTCCCAGAACGCAGTGGGCCCTGGAGTGGTGGGGCTTTGCCGGCTGTTTCACTGAATCCTCCCAGGTGTACCAGGAAGGACAGACAGAAGCTCTTGTTTTACCAAAAGGAAGCAGACACAGAGAAGTGAAGTTGCGCCCTCAAAGTCACATGGCTAGATGCCGTAGAAGCGGAGATGCTGCACCTCCCGGGCAGCGCAGGGCCTTGCTGGGCATTTGATGCTCGCCTGCGGGAGCTCTCACTGCTGCTTCCCTGCAAGCTCTGCCCACCCACCCACCTGGCAGAGCACTCTAAAATAACGGACGACTCTGGAGGCTGGGAACGCCCCACGGAGAGTTCACACTGATGTCACTCCAGGGCCAGCGGCCAACTGCAGACCCTGAACCACCCTCAGCAGCCAGGGTCCCCCGGCCCCCAGTGTCTGCGCCTGACTTAGACAGCAACGGTCAGAGATGAGATGCTGAGATGAGCCTATGGCCTCTCTGCGACCGTCCCCATGTCACATCTGCCCTATCTACCAAAAAATCAGCCACAGCAAGCACACAGTGGCGGGGCCCAGGTCGGCCAGCCTCCACCGACGCAGACGTGAGGCTACCACGGGCAAGCAGTTTCCCGGAGCTTCTCTGCTGCAGGGCTGTTACGAATTCATTTTCCTGCGGCTAAATTTAAGTTTCCTAAGAAAATGTCAAGCAGTTACAGCTCACAAGTTCCAAGCAAACCTAACTCACAAAACTGGTACGAATGATACCAAGGGGAAAGCCCAGGTGCCCACAGCACCGCGTCACAGAAGAGCACGCCATTAAACCACATGGCCCTAGAGGATGCCTGCTAGAGACTAGGGTGACACTGTGGCTCCAGATCACCCAGATTTCTGGCCGACAACATCTTTGTCCGGATCTTCAGGGCTGGGGGTAATGGCAGGTGGGGCCTTTCAGCTGTGGGCCTTGGCCTGAATCCCCACTAATCAGTATGGCTGAGCCTCATTTCCCAGAACACTCAGCCCTCCTCATCCCTTTACAGGCAATGTCACCTGTGAATTTTAGCCTCCAGGATGTCTGTCTTCACTTTGTATGTCAAATTATTTGTCATGTCAATATGGCTGTCTGTTCCTTATCAATATTACTTTTGCTCTCATTTAAGCCTCTGCTGGCAGCATAGAGCTGACGGGGGATCCAGGCTCTGCTCGTTCTTCATTCATTCACTCATTCATTCCTTCATTCCACAAATGCTCACTGAACGTCTGCTGAGCACCAGGCGCTGGTCTAGGTACAGGACACTCAGCCGTGAACATGGCAAGGCTGCTTTCCCTGGCACTTTGGTCCCAGGGTAGTGGAAGGAAGTGCCAGCCTGAGTGAGGCCGAGTGGGAATGAGTGTATGTGTGTACATACACGTGTGAGTTTGGGTGTGAGTGTGGGGGAATGAGAGTACATATGTGGGAGTGTGTGTATATGGGTGTGACTGTGAGAGCACGTGTGTGTAAGTGAATGTGTGGGGGGAGGGCATGAAATAGTGTGTATGAGTGGACAGTTGTATGAGTGAATGAATGAGCATGTGTGACTGTGTAAATGTGTGAGGGTGGGTGTGAATGTGTGTGTAAATATATGTGTGGGTGTGAACGTGAGTGAATGTGTGTGAACACCTGTGTGTGACAATGTGAATGTGTGTATGAGGGTGGGTGTGAATGTGAGAGTAAATGTATGAGTGGGTGTGGTGTGAACATGAGTGAATGTGTGTGAACACCTGTGTGTGACAGTGTGAATGTGTGTATGAAGGTGAGTGTGAATGTGTTTGAGTGTGTGAAGGAGTGTGTGTGTGTGAACGTGTGGATGTGTGTGTGTGAATGGGTATGTGTGTGAATAAGTGTGTTTGAGGGTGGGTGTAAATGTGAGTGAATGCTTGTGACAGTGTGTGTATGAGGGTGGGTGTGAATGTGTGTGTGTGAATGCATTGTGTGTGACAGTGTGAATGGGTGTATGAAATTGGGTGTGAATGTGTGATTGTGAATGTGTGTATGAATGAGTGTGTATGAAGGTGGGTGTGAATGTATGCATGCAAATGTGTGTGGATGTGATTGTGTGTGAATGAGAGTAAGTGAGTGACAGTGTGTGTGCAAGTGTGCGTGTGAATGTGTGTGACGTCACTACAAAAGTTCCTCCTCTGGGAATGCACATGCAGATAGGACCCAGTTGTATGACTCTCCTCTTGGTCTCCGGAGGGCACTCAGCTCCACTGCCATCTGCCAGGAGCCCCGTTACACTTCCTGGCTTTCCTAAGCCCTTTCCTGCCCTGGATTCCTTGTGAAGATCAAACTCCAATCGAGCCTGGCCTTTCTTCAGTGGGCCCAGCCCGGGTGGCTTTGCAGTTCACCAGGGCTGAGGCACGACGCCTGGAGTCCACCATGCGCAGCTGAGCAGCAGACGGGCCACAGCCCTGACCTTGGGACTTTGCCAGTCTCTGCTGTGGGTGAGGTCCCTCGATCCTGCTAAGCCTCAGTTTCCATATTTGCCAAATGGGGAGAACAGTCCTGGCCTCATCAGGCTGTCATCAGGAAGTGGGGTGCACAATGGGGACCTCTCAGCCTGGGGCCCCATGGTCTCAAAACCCCAGCAGATGTTCTGGGGTTATGACGGATCCAGCATC